ACATGCAGAAGCATGAAGCAAGACCCCTACCTTACGCCTTACACAAAAATTCACTCAACATGGATTAAAGACTTAAATCTATGACCCGACACCATCAAATTATTAGAGAACATTGAAAAACCCTGAACGATATAGGTTTCGGCAATGACTTTTTGGAAAACACCCCAGAAGCACAGGCAGTCAAAGCCAAAATTAACATTTGGGATTGCATCTAATTGAGAAGTTTCTGTACTGCAAAAGGAACAGTCAGGAGAGTGAAGAGGCAACCGACAGAATGGGAAAAAATATTTGCAAACTATGCAACAGATAAAGGGTTGATAACCAGAATCTACAAAGAAATCAAGAAACTCCAAAACATCAAAACAAACAGCCCACTTAAGAAATGGGCCAAGGACCTCAATAGACATTTTTCAAAAGAGGAAATCCAAATGGCCAACAGACACATGAAAAAATGTTCAAGATCACTAGCAATCAGGGAAATGCAAATCAAATCCACAATGAGGTTTCACCTCACCCCGGTTAGAATGGCTCACATGCAGAAATCTACCAACAACAGATGCTGGTGAGGATGTGGGGAAAAAGGGACACTAACCCACTGTTGGTGGGAATGCAAACTGGTCAAGCCACTATGGAAGTCATGCTGGAGATTCCTCAGAAACCTGAAGATAACCCTACCGTTCGACCCAGCCATCCCACTCCTTGGAATTTACCCAAAGGAATTTAAATTGGCAAACAAAAAAGCGGTCTGCACCCTAATGTTTATTGCAGCTCAATTCACAATAGCTAAGACCTGGACCGACCTAAATGCCCATTAACGGTAGACTGGATAAAGAAATTATGGGATATGTACTCTTTAGAATACTATACCGCAGTAAGAAACAATGAAATCCAGTCATTTGCAACAAGATGGAGGAATCTGGAACACATCATGCTGAGTGAAATAAGCCAGTCCCAAAGGGACAAATACCATATGTTCTCCCTGATCGGTGACAACTGACTGAACACCAAAAAGGAAACCTCCTGAAGTGAAACGGACACTATGGGAAACGGTGACTTGATCATCATAGCCCTGACTGTTAATGAACAACTTAATACATTATCCCTCTTAGTAGTTTTTTTGTCTGTTCTACTTAATATGACTGGTTTAATTCTGTAATTAATACACAGTTATTCTTAAGTGTTAAAAATTAACTGAAATGTGATCCCTGTTAAACATAAGAGTGGGAATAAGAGAGGGAAGAGATGTATAATTTGGGACATGCTCAAGCTGACTTGCCCCAAATGGTAGAGTTAAAAACATACCAGGGGATTCCAATTTAATCCCATCAAGGTGGCATGTACCAATGCCATCTCACTAGTCCAAGTGATCAATTTCAGTTCACAATTGATCATAATGAAAGGACTAAGAGTCAAAGGGAGCACATAAACAAGTCTAGTACCTGCTAACACTAACCGATGGAATAAATAAAGGGGAGAGTGATCCAACATGGGAAGTGAGATACTCAGCAGACTCATAGAATGGCAGATGTCCTAAATAGCACTCTGGCCTCAGAATCAGCCCTAAAGGCATTCCGATCTGGCTGAAAAGCCCATCAGAGTATTTCAGGCATGGAAAGCCAAGACACTCTGGCAAAAGATCTCTGTGAGTGAGATCCCAGTGGAAAGAACAGGTCTTCAAAGAAGGAGGTACCTTTCTCTGAAGGGAGGAGAGAACCTCCACTTTGACTATGAGCTTGTCTAAACAAGATAAGAGTCGGAGAACTCAGAGGGCTTCCATAGCCTTGGAAACTCATGACCGGAGCATAGGGAGACTACTGATGCCATAGACAGGAGTGTCAATTTGTAAAGTCAACAACAGGAGTCACTGTGCACTTACTCCTCATGTAGGATCTCTGTCCTTAATGTGCTGTGTATTGAGATTTAATGCTATAACGAGTACTCAAACAATATATTTCACTTTGTGTTTTTATGGGGGTGCAAACTGTTGAAATCTTTACTTAATGTATACTAAACTGATCCTCTGTAAAAAAAAAAAAAAAAAAAAAAGAAAAAAAGAAATTATCAACTCCCAACTTGACTCTCACTAGGATTAAACATGACAATAGGTCTGATCTGATTTCATCATCATTTAAAAAAAATCATCTATTATTTTTCACTTTATGTTTCTGTGTGAGAGCAAACTGTTGAAATCCTTACTTAATGTATACTAAGCTGATCTTCTGTATATTAAGATAATCGAAAATGAATCTTGATGTGAATGGAAGGGGAGAGGGAGTGGGAAAGGGGAGGGTGGTGGGTGGGAGGGACGGTATGGGGGGGAAAGCCATTGTAACCCATGAGACGTACTTTGGAAATTTATATTCATTAAATAAAAGAAAAAAAAATAAAAAAATAAAAATAAAAAAAAATCGTACTTTGGAAATTTATATTCATTAAATAAAAGTTAAAAAAAAAGAATTACAATGGCTTTTCCCCCCATAACTTCCCTCCCACCTGCAACCCTCCCCTCCCCCGCTTCCTCTCCCCTTCCATTCACATCAAGATTCATTTTCAATTCTCTTTATATACAGAAGATCAATTTAGCATATATTAAGTAAAGCTTTCAACAGTTTGCACCCACACAGAAACATAAAGCGAAAAATACTGTTTGAGTACTAGTTATAGCATTAAATCACAAAGTACAGCACATTAAGGACAGAGATCCCAGGAGTAAGTGCACTGTGACTCCTGTTGTTGACTTAACTAATTGATACTCTTGTTTATGGCGTCAGTAATCACCCTAGGCTCTTGTCATGAGTTGCCAAGGCTATGGAGACCTTTTGAGTTTGCCGACTCTTATCTTATTTAGACAAGGTCATAGTCAAAGTGGAAGTTCCCTCCTCCCTTCAGAGAAAGGTACCTCCTTCTTTGATGACCTGTTCTTTCCATTAGGATCTCACTCACAAAGATCTTTCATTTAGGTCTTTTTTTTAAGGTCAGATTTTTTTTAAAATGATCCAAGGAGCAACTTTCAAGAATACATTTTAAATTAAAAAGATACAGGCGGGGGGAGTGCCATGGTTCACTTGGTTAATCCTCCATCTGTGGCACCAGCATCCCATATGGGCGCCAGGTTCTAGTCCCAGTTGCTGCTCTACCAGTCCAGCTCTCTGCTGTGGCCCAGGAAGGCAGTGGAGGATGGCCCAAGTGCTTGGGCCCTGCACCTGCATGGGAGACCAGGAGGAAGCACCTGGCTCCTAGTTTCGGATCGGCATAGTTCCGGCTGTAGTGGCCACTGGAGGGTGAACCAACGGAAGGAAGACCTTTCTCTCTCTCTCTCTCTCTCTCTCTCTCTCACTGTCTGACTCTATCTGTCAAATAAATAAATAAATAAAGATACAGGCAGACCAATGAAGAAGGAAAAGGTGAGTAGTGAGAAAGTGGAAGCAAAGACTCTTTAAAAGTTTAATAAAATATTCAATAAGATAATATTAGTTAACATCTGGATGAGATAGTGGAAAACTATGGGATCATTAAAAAAAATGACACATAAAGAAAACATCCTAACAGAAAAAGGTGGTAAAATTTAAACTATTTAAATAATTTAGAACAGAAAATATTTGCATATACTTAATATCAAGCTTCAAAATACATAAAGCAAAAACAGAAGGCACTATAAGAATTGAACAAATTCAGAATAATTTTTAAGCATCCCCCAGTATAATATGACTAGAACACACCAAAAATCAGTATGAGCTAGTATACCACTGGTATTTAGTCTCATGAAAAAATCAGAGAAATACAGATTAAAAACAAAACTAGATATTCCTATATACTGCCAGATGATTAAAACATTTTAAGACATGCTAGGCAACTTTAGCAATGTGCAAGGCTGTGGAGCCATGAGGACTCTCATAACTGCTGCTGGTAGGTGCAGCCACCTGGCAAATCTCTCTGGTATTAACCTTAGCAGCTGAAGGCCTGACAACTCCACTCCTACTGAAAGTATTCAACAAGCAGTACAGGATACTCTACTCCTCACAAATGGCCATACAAGTGTGATTCTAGGGAATCTCTGGCCCCCAGCATCAGTGATAACAGCCCAGGAGGTTAAATCATCACCGGGTATTTGCCCACGGGGATTCTAGGACTACTACATTGTAGGGGACAGCCTGAGATCCAGAACCATCAGGAGTTGGTTGACCAAGTCCCACCTCAGAAGGCCAATAATGTTTTACCAACCTGAAAAAAAATTTCAATATTTGAAAAGCTGGCATCACCTTAAAGGAGTATGCTAATTCTGAATATCAGTTTAGTTTATTTATTTAGTTTCCCTAAAGAAACTCAAGCACATCTGCAATAGGATATATGAAGCTAACTTACATGTAACCACTGATTCATTATAAACAAAAAGGAAACAAATAGAAAAGAAAATAGATGAGTAGGTGATACTCAGTTCATATAGTGGAAGATTCTACAGTGATGAAAATAAACGAGAGCTACAGGCAATGTCAAAGAATCTCACAAACAGAATTGATAAGAAAAAAGGACATGAAGGAATATACATACTATATATGATGAATGAATACATACACTACTATATTATTCCATTCACATAAAGGTTTGAATAGATAAAACTAAATAATTTTATAGAAAAAAGAAATATTAGCCAAAACCACACAATGTGAGAGGATATGATCATCAGGGTTGTGAACAAGAAAGATGAATACAGAGACTCTAGGCCAGAAGAATCCCCTGTACTTAAATTTTTTGCTAACTCACCTTTATATGCTTAATGTATTTTTCTCTATTATTTTGTATTTGACAATAAGAGAAAAAAAGGGTTAAAAAATCTTGAAGCTGGCTGAGATCAAAGGGTTTGCAGCTGACATCACAAATACTTTGGCAGTAAGTGGGCAGAGCTATGAACCAAAGTAAGAGCAAAGGAAAGTGATTGGAGAATAAGGCAGCAGGAATGATATTTATCCAAAGAAAGCTCATTACTGGACACAGAGCACCCTGAGGAGAAGCAGAAGGTTTCTCAAACCGGAAAGCAAGTTCTCCAAAGAAAAATGAGCACCAAAGGAAAAGTAAGAAAATAAGCTGCATTTTTTTTTCAGTTTGTGCATTTTTTATGTCTGTGTACATTTGTTGGTTCCTTTGGGAACTATAGCAAAAGGATCAAAATGATACAAGAGTAGCCCCAGTGCTAGGAATTTGATAAAAGGAAACATCTATGGATCTATCAAATGCTCTCTACAGGGTGTTGAATCAAATATTATTTAAGTTGCCAGCACAAAGGAGACTTAAGCTGTGTTAGAGCCATGAAACAGAATATATATTTGTTGGAAATAATGTTGGAGAGTAATATGAAAAATATTCATATTAATATATAGAGTTGATTATAAAGCAGAATTGCTGCATTGTTTATGACCCCATGTGAGATACTTACAAAGATTTAGATCAAAAGCATGAAGTGAGTGATAAACTCATAGATGAGTTCTGCTTTTCCTTATTGGATTTTGAAACTTCCTATAACTGATACATATATTTATTTTGTAAGATTAATGATACTTAAAAATATAATTCAAAATTGATAGCAACTATTGAAAAGTATATGTTCACATGGTAAAAGACTTTGGAAAGATCACACCCAAGGAAAAATACTATTAGGATGGAGAAATATAATTTTGCTTATTTTTACTTTCTATCGATGTTAATTCTACTTGAAATAAAAAATACAATTTCAGGCTATAAAAATTTTTGATGTATGGATTATAGAGTCCTGAAATGTTTCATTTCTTTTCATGCATTTTTGCTCAATTCTTACAAAAACAAAAAATTACTTAATTTATATTATACTGAAAAAATGCATGTAATTATATTAACCTCACTCCCCTGACTTTAAATAAATCATCTGGGGATCTTATTCAAATTCAAAATTTTGATTTACTGGGTTTGGAAAGAGCTTCAGCTCTAACAAGTCCCCAAGTAACATGATTTATAGTTTAAGGCCTGTATTTTGAGTAACTAAATAATAAACCTTTGTCCTAGTAATAAGATCTTGAGAAATGCAGAGTTGATTATAAATGGTTGAGTCAACAAACACCATTTGGTTCAATGAAGCCCTATGAACTCTATAAATATATCTACTTCATTATGAAAAAAATCAAGTCATTATATCAGGGTAAATTTAATACACCTGTTCATCTCAACAAGTTAAAAAGTAGGAAACCTATAATGTAGAATTTAACATGTTTTTTTCACAAACTATGTTTCATGGAATTACTATCTCAAGAGGCTCTTTAGGTTTTTTTCCTCTCTCTCTCTCTCTCTCTCTCTCTCTCTCTCTCTCTCTCTCTCTTTTGCCTTTCACTTATATTCACCCTCCACTTCTCTTTCAGGTTATTAAATGCAAAGCAGCCATTGCCTGGGAAGCAGGAAAGCCCCTTAGCATTGAAGAGGTTGAGGTAGCTCCTCCCAAGGCTCATGAAGTTCGAGTTCAGGTAAGTGGAGACTGTCTCCAGGGACAGATGGGACCCTAGTAAAGAAGTGGTTTCTATCAATTCAATCCCACATGTAATGACTGGGAGGCCTTGGAGTTTCCATTAAGGGGCAGTTTTAGTTTTAGGTCAGGTAAGAACAGGCATTATTCCCAGGAGTGATAAATCATTGTTTCAATAACATTTGATAATCAACTTGTTTTTTAACTTTTATTTAGTAAATATAAATTTCCAAAGTACAGTTTATGGATTACAGTGGTTTTCCCCCCCATACTTCCCTCCCACCCGTACCCCTCCCATCTCCCGCTCCCTCTCCCATTCCATTCACATCAAGATTCATTTTCAAATATCTTTATATACAGAAGATCAATTTAATATATATTAAGTAAAGATTTCATCAGTTTGCACCCACAGAGAACATAAAGTGTGAAATACTGTTTGAGTACTAGTTATAGCATTAATTCACATTGAACAACACATTAAGGACAGAGATCCTACATGAGGAGAAAGTACACAGTGACTCCTGTTGTTGACTTAACAAATTGACACTCTTGTTTACGGCGTCAGTAATCTCCCTAGGCTCTTGTCATGAGTTGCCAAGGCTATGGAGACCTTTTGAGTTCGCCGACTCTGATCTTATTTAGACAAGGTCATAGTCAAAGTGGAAGTTCCCTCCTCCCTTCAGAGAAAGGTACCTCCTTCTTTGATGGCCCCTTCTTTCTACTGGGATCTCACTCACAGAGATCTTTCATTTAGGTTTGTTTTTTTTTTTTTTTCCAGAGTGTCTTGGCTTTCCATGCCTAAAATACTCTCATGGGCTCTTCAGCCAGATACAATGCCCTAAGGGCTGATTCTGAGGCCAGAGTGCTGTTTAGGACATCCGCCATTCTATGAGTCTGCTGTGTATCCCGCTCCCATGATGCATCATTCTCTCCCTTTTTGATTCTATCAGTTAGTATTAGCAGACACTAGTCTTGTTTATGTGCTCCCTTTGACTCTTACACCTATCAGTATGATCAATTGTGAACTGAAATTGATCGCTTGGACTAGTGAGATGGCATTGGTACATGCCACTTGATGGGATTGTATTGGAATCCCCTGGCACATTTCTAACTCCACCATTTGGGGCAAGTCCGATTGAGCATGTCCCAAATTGTACATCTCTTCCCTCTCTTATTCCCACTCTTATATTTAACTGGGATCCCTTTTCAGTTAAATTTAAACACCTAAGAATAACTGTGTATTAATTACAGAGTTCAACCAATAATATTAAGTAGAACAAAAAAATACTAAAAGGGATAAAACATTAAATTGTACATCAACATTGATGACAAGGGCTGATCAAATCACTGTTTCTCATAGTGTCCATTTCACTTCACCAGGTTTCCTTTTTGATGCTCGGTTAGTTGTCACCAATCAGGGAGAACATATGATATTTGTCCCTCTGGGACAAAGAGAAATCAAAATGAAATACTGGAAATGAAGAATTCAATAGATTGAATTAAAAAATGCGGTGGAAAGCCTTAACAATAGACTCAGTGAGGCA